ATGGTTTAATGATATGTATACGATATTCAAATTGTAATAGTGATGGATCATTTCGTATAAAGTAAAAAATTTCATTCAAACTAAAAGAAAGAAATTGTAATTATGACTTTGGAAACACAAATTTTTAGGAAAGTATCAATCCAAGATTATAAGTCTGAGAGAGAACAACACATTGGAAAGTTAGGACACCCACTTTAGAAACTTTACCCAGTCTATGATATGGCATATTTGCCTGCAAAAACTCTTTGAATCTATCCCTTACAATATGGGTCTCAACCATTGAGTGGCATGGGGTCCAGTTCAGGGCACTACCCCTCCTGCTTTTTCTTTTTATAGTTCCTTCATTTCAAATATTCTCTGATTGCAGAGAAAAGTTTGGATGTCACATGAAAGTTGAATCAATAACTCTGAGGGTAAGATGAGCTCTAATCTCAAAAATTTAGGGTTCGAAATTTAATAATTTTTTTAGGGTGGATGGCTTGCATTTAACGGGTATTCAATCTCTAAAAATACATGATTAATCTTTAGTCTCTAGACCAAGTTTATCCCCGGTTATACATGAACTAAGTTATTCATGAGATGTAAGTGGGTCTCTCAGTTGTTAATGGTGAATGATTGGCTAAGAAGAAAATTGAAGAGAAAATATACTGAAGGTGATCTTGATCGTGACTGAGATTCGGGGAGAGTCTGGAGATGACCCTAATCTCGAATTTCATTGTTGTCAAAGAACAGCAAAAGGTACACAAAAATATTTATAACCTCGAGAACAAAAAAAAAAGGGTATAAAAAATTATAAAATAAAAACTGGACAAATACTCCTAAATTATTGTATGCTTAAAATTGACCAGATCCTGCATTTTGTCATACGTAACGGCTAAAAGAAGCCAAAAACAAGTTTTATGTCCAAAACGTGGTCAGGAGGATTCTTTAATCCCAGATGTTGTCTTTGATATTAAGTTGCTTCATTCAGACAATTTGACAAATACAAAACAGATTTCTCAGTTTTGGCTCATAAAATGTTTTCTTGGTACAGCCTCATACTAAGTATAGGGTTCAAAAAGGGATCAATAGTTGGTTTCATCGCCGTTAATCGAGAGTGTTGAGAGAGATAGACTAAGTACATACTTGACATTATTCACGCAAAATGATTTTTGTTATATTTGAATCCGTAACTTCGGGATTGTTAATCTTGTATTCTTAATATTGCACCAAGCAATCTCCCATCTATTACCATGTAAATTGTAATATGTGTAACGGCCCGCTTAACACTTTAAAGCACATCACACATGCTTCACCAAGCAATTTACGACAAAATATATAGAAACTTGATATCTTCACCTCAACTCATCTATCTTGACCACAACCCTCATTAGTATTTTTGTTACCACATTATGAGCAAAAACCTGGTAAAAACTATCCAAAAGGACATCTTCCCAAACCGTTTCACGAAGAAAGCAAAGAGCAATGCTACACTCTAAGCAAATTTTGTACAACAAAATTGTATGGACGATTGGATTAATGGGTTTCACTGACGGTCACCGAACGTTTGATATTTCTTATTTTCACATTAGTTGTATACAATATTTGGTATACTCATTTGGATGCACGATTTTATTAAAAAGCAAATCAAATTATCAGAGATTTTCAATAATTTTGACACTAAAAATGATATTTAGTAACTACGTTTAGGAACTCTCCTCTCCCTACGGTCTACCAACTTTGTACTTACCGCTCCTAACATCGAATAACTACATACACCATAATCATCTCTACCATTATCATCATATTGTCCACCGCTACCAGCATCAGAATAAGATCGTACGAACACCAACAGTTGCATGTTTTTGGCCATGAGTGTCCCATAATATTAATTGGCTCATGGATTCTAGAGTTTTGTGCAAACATTATTAGTTGCTCTTGCTTCTGCTATAACACAGTATAAAGGGGACCATGATTGTAAATGCATTGGGCTTGTAATGGGCATTATTCAAGAAAACTCAACTCTCTGCAATCTTTGGGTGTTTGAAGCAAGGACATGCCTGATTGTCAAGTCAACTTGTTCATGTCAAATGAACTTTAAAATTTTTTTGGTTGTTGCTATTGCTTATGCTACATTCTTTCTTTTTTTAGAGTGGTACTAAACTACATAAATAATCTGGGGAGGGAGAAAATCTTGTTGGTAGCGTGGCTTGACCCTCGGTCAATTGTGCATTGGTGCAGGTCCCTTGCAAGGAGAGAACCCACGGGGTAAGGGTGGTGATCGAGTGGAGTCTTTTGAGCCTTGTCTTGAGTTGAATATCATATTCTTGAACTTGTCTAAATTTAATCAAATTCAGGTTATGTTAGTTTGAACGAGAAAAAACCGAGCCCAACTTGTATAGCTTGGGGTCCTCTAATCGCGTTACGTGCGAATTCGATTAGATAGTAGATACCCACAAAAGATTGGCATACTCCAGAGAGCAATTTGACACCCCCCAGGTAAATTGCCAGTTGATGCTTCAAGGCTAATGTAAATTCCTAAAGCAATAATAGGGGTCTAGAACAGCAATGCTTAGAATTGAAAACAAAATCACAGAAAATCTTCAATGTAATAACTGACAAGCAATTGTTTAAGTACCATTTGCATATGATTATGAGGAACCTTGAAGGTGATATCAAGTAGGCTTTACGGTTTCAAACTTTGCCTTAATAGGAAAATAATGGGGGAAACTTTTTTTATTGAAGAAATTCAAAGGCAAAATGATAATTAGTGGTGTAAATTAAGTGGAAACATGTGAATTGTCAGTAATTATGAGAACCACTATTAATTTGGAGTCGAGATTTGAATTTGCCTTAAAAATATATGAAAACAACGTAGTCCTTGTAATAATGCTGATAATTTTCATTTTTATCGTTATTTCAACTGTGGTTATATTATTAACTCAATACCCACCATGGAACCACCACCCAAAAAAAAAAAAAAAATTCTCTGTATCCTTGTATTGATACCACGAACTATAAAATTTCACAAAAGGACCAACTTGATGTTTTCGGGGAGAATTTATATTATTTTGAGCAGGAAAAATTATCATTGGAAAATGAGAGAATTTTACAACAGCCACAAAAAATATAGGCCAAATAAAATCATTTATTCCCTGAATATAACTTTTCTTTTTTGACATTTTAGTTCTTTGGTTTGATTGGTAAGCTTAGGTATCCAAATTAGATAGCTATTCATTTATAAATCATATTTAGAGTTAGAAAGAACTCAACATCATCAGTCCACCTCCTTTTTGAAGATCAAGAATAAATAAATAAATAAGCAAGTGGGACATGAATTAATTACATTCTTAATGTTGAAGCCAATGGTTTAGAGATTGATTACGAAGTTCTAACTGCAAAATAACTCAAAGTTTATCACAGGTTACTTAATAATATATCTCAAGAATTGCAAACTGTCAAGCAAGCATCTTTAGGTAAGTACATTGGGGATAAAAGTTAGGTATGTTAGTGAAACATGAGGATGATAAAATAATAAAATGTAAGAGCATTGATTTTTATAACCAAGAATCGTCTCAATTATACATTTTTTAAAACTCATAACGTAAACTTGGGATATGCACAATCACTTGTAAAATCGTTCGTAATGAGTCAACTGGAACATGTAATAACAAACGAGACATTTTCGTTTAAGTTATCTTTATCGGTTGGACTACGAATAAAATAGATTGTACTTTGATAAAATGTACCTGTAATTAAGATGGGCAACATCATCATCACGGAGTTTCTTACTGTTTGGGTTGGGTTGTTGAGCAAAGAGTCGGAAGAGAGAGAGTTTTGTGTAGTCGTACAAAGTCACAACTACTCTTAGGTAACCCAACAAAAGCATCAAATTTTGTTAGGATAGTCACAAACAAACAATAGTTTTGCTGTACTTCTACTAGGAAATGATTTCCATGGAGATTCAGAATCAAAGTGATTATGAAGTAAACTAAAGTGGTTTTATACCAACGATCAAAATAGTTTGGATGGAAAAGTTGCGTGGGTTACTATCTCCGAGTCAAACTCGAGTCTCACAAGAGACGTTGAATTTAATCATATGTACGTAGTTTACAGGTGATTGTGCAAATCTCGAATTTATATTGTAATCACGAGTTCGAAAAATACGTGTTTAAGACAATTCTCGATTCTTAAAAGCAAATAACAAAAAGTGGTTGAAGACCTAAACCGAAATTAGAACTATAAAAAACAACTAGAAAATCACCTATTATACCTTCTACCGTCAAAAACATTTATAAATCACATGTCAGGAGAGCCCCATTCATTGACCAGTATCCAACTTGTAAGTTGCAGGATACACCTAGATAATATCCAATGGACACTTCATTAAACTTTGGTTGTTCTTTTTGTGTGCTTTGTCACCTTTGATCTAACACTTATACTGCGTTTGGTACCTGACATTAGGTGTTAAGAATGGAATGGAATGGAATGGATATTCCATGGTAATATCCATTCTATTGTGTAGTTCCCCTTTCAAAGGAATATCTACTCCTACAAATCATAGGATTAGGCATTACCAAATCTATCATGGTATTTCTTATTGACTTATTTCCAGTTTGCGGGCTATCATTCATGCCCTTAACTCCTTCGATCTTCTTTTGATTTAAACTTGACAATTGATTGTGAAAATGATTAATTAATTTAAAATAATAAAAGAAACTTTTCTTACACGTGTCAAAATATCATTAAAAGAAAAATGAGACATGATGATATCAAAAAGTCATCATGATTGAATCCGTGTAGTACAACTCCAGAACCTTACATAGAGTATGCCTTATCTGACAAGCCCATTCAGGCTCAGCACAATGTCACAGTCAAGCTCTTTTCTGGGAAATAGAGAGATGTTCACACAACCATACATAAATACGAACACGTAGCAGGTTCGAGTTCAAGAATCAGTCTCTCCCACATGGGGAAAACATGTGAGCTCAAAAAGGTAGAATTTTTGGACCACGTGTAAAGCATAATCGAGAATTTAAATTTTATTTATTATAAATTGACATATAACGGTTACAATGCTTCGTCGAAAAGGACTTCCAGTAAGGCTTCATCCAAGCACAAAATGAGAAAGGGCCCATATTAAGGGCTAAAAATGGGTAGTGAACAATGCAATACAGCTAAATGGAGGAAAGCAATAGATAATACAAGGAACATAGGCGTTCAACAGCTCATAATCTCTAGCAATAATGTTGGCACTGATCATAAAACCTGGGCTTCATGACCACAGAATGAGCTGCTTGGGCTGATCTACTTTACTCTTTGCCATCTGCAGCACGAAGAGAGCCGAGTTGAACAGGAGCTTGTGTTCCAACAACTTTTGATGACCCGTAAATTGATAGATCAATGCCCTGAGCTTTTTCTTTCTCAATTTGTTCCTTGATCCAAAAGTATGTGAATCTCAGCCCATCCTACATGTATAGGAGATATGATCAGTGAGTCAGTATTTCTCTAGTAGTAAGTGGATTGACACAGCAGAGAGGCTAAAGTAAGCCAATCCAATACCTTCAATTTCATAGTAGGGGCCCAACCAAGCTTCTCCTTAATGAGAGTGTTGTCTGAGTTTCGACCACGAACACCCTCTGGACCAGGAATGTGATGGATGGGGAGATTCTTGTCCTCAAAGCTGAGGACAATCTCAGCCATCTCATTCATGCTTACCATCTCATCACTTCCAATATTCACTGGCTCTCGGAAATCTGACTTTGTCAATCTGAACACATAAAGTTTATATCAAAAAGGTTGATTAAACCCTCAAACCAAAGAACTCCTATTCAGAAATTACAAGTTCAAGTTGTGTTTTGTGTGGAACCAAAAATAGGACTAACAGTCATCATAGATTCACGAGCCACTAGCCCAAGCATTGTGCTGAATCTCTTACACATGAAATGGGGAGTTCAGTCGTCACTGATTTTTAACTCCTAAAGAAACATTTAATTTGGATTTCTTAACCATATCAAAGTAAATATTTCAGCTTCAAAAAATTAATAGCGTCTTGGTTTTTAGAGAGATCTTAATGGCAAATACTGGCAGCCTGTTATATCCGTCTCTCCCTGATAAAGTACATCAAAATATACACTTCATTCAGTAGGATGTTGTGTTATATAATAGTCTTATCTCAAATGTATGGGTGCACCATAGTTCAAAAGAAAAACATCGGCATAAGTGAGCAACTCAAAACTGTGCCCTAATATACGTAAGAAAGACATGTTCATCTGACAGGCAAATTTACCTCAGCACCCCTTCAACACATTCATCAATGAAGGTGAAAGATCGGGTTTGGAGCCCATCTCCCCACATCTCAAACTTCTCGGTGGAAGTAAGTGCTTTTCTACAGAATGCAGCTGGTGCTTTCTCCCTACCACCTGTAGTGATCAAATGAGGAGCAGCATAAATAAACAGGACCTAAAAACTGAATTTCTGATTATATGTAATCTGAGCAGCATGTCACATCTAACCTTTCCAAGTGCCAAACGGTCCATAAATGTTGTGGAACCGACCAATCCGGCATTCAATTCCAAAGTCCTTGGTATAGTGCTTGCACAATTCCTCTGTTGCCAGCTTCTCCAAGCCATAAGCGTCTTGAGGCTAAAACATAAGCAAAACAAAAACTCATCCATTATGTCTAATAATCCAACTTGAGTTAGAGATATGTGCTAATTCTTGATCAATTATGAGGGAAAACCTCTGCTGGCCAAGCGTCAGACTCCTTCAAGCTCACATTAGTATCCAACTGCTTAAACTCAGGATAAATGCAAGCACTAGAGGCATAAAAGAACCTGCACAGCATAATGAAAAGGTCAATTCTCAGATATGTGCAACCACATACATGATAGGTTCCACACCGATAACTACTAGCAACTGAAATGGCAAGCAGATGCTAGAAAATTTCTGTGCATGCACCACTCAAAGTAGAAATTGATAATTTCCATTACTACCAACAGAAATGCTGAATGAACTGTCTCAGAGGGCATAGAACAAGTCGAAACAACTTAAGCTGTAGTCCTTTATAGAACCATGATTTCAAAAACTATGTAATGAACAAGAGAGTAACGTGACAAACCTCTTAACTCCATTGATTCTGGCAGCTTCAAGCATGTTAAAGCTAATCATAGTGTTGTTATACATAATGACCGAATGGTTGGACTGAATGAAGCCCATACCTCCCATATCAGCAGCAAGGTTAAACACATGATCAACCCCGTCTGCGACTTTCAGACAGTTATCCATCACCCTAAGATCAACGAGATGAAACTCATTACAGAACATGTCCTCTGTCATGTGCTCATTTTTCTTCCAATCAGAGGCAATAATGTAATGTCCTTCATTCTTTAGACGCCTGGCAATGTGTGAGGCAATGAATCCACCTGCTCCGGTTATGGAAATCCGGAGCTTCTCTGAGGGCCAATAGGGTTCCCTCTCAAGATTCTCATATGTGAATGCCCCGTAATCTGTTCCACCAGTACTTCCCATTCTGCAGACGTCAGTGTGGAAAAAAAACGTAAGAGCTCTACAAGCAAAACATCTTAAAAGATTAACAAAACATTGATGCTCATGGTAGACTGGGTTTGAGGAGGAATTGTTATGACATTGCAAGGAAGGTAAGAAGCTAAGTTTACAACTCACAAGAACATTCAGTACAAAACTGAATCGAGACAACCAAAGTTAGTTCAATCTACATGCAATTCTTACAAAACAACAAAAACAGACAAAAGAAAAAGATTTAAGGACCACAAAAAAAGGGGAGGAAATCACAAAACCGTAACCAATAAGAACTAAACATTGAAATTTTTGACACAACTTCTTGACATAAATGATTCCTATATGGAGAAACAAAATAAACCCAAAGAAAAAATCAAATATTGTGGGAATATTTATAAGAACAAACTGAAAGCCCAGAAGCAAACTTAACTCAGTGAATTAACAGACACCATGCAGTAGCAAAATAGACAAAAGAGCAACAAAAAACTAACTGCATGAACCCAGAATTGGTAGGGGAATAACATATGATTCTTAAATTCTCAATACACAAGCAAGGACCTAGACAATAAGTTTACAAGAAAGTAGTAAATTCAGACACAAAAGCCATGTAAAGCAAAATAACTCTGCCCCAACCCTATCTCAAGTTCTTGACAAATCATAATAATAATGGATAATTAATAAGAGAAAGATTAATCCAAGGAGACCAGAACACAGACATATACATACAAGTATCTAAATTAAGATGCAAATATTCAAGCTATGTCTAAAACTAGAACATTTAGTCTCTCTAGAAACAGAGGATACTTGAACACAGTCTCAAAGAGCATAAACCAACATAATGAAAATTACCAACATAAATTGATAGCACAAATTCAAACATTTACGAACGACAGATGAAATTCATACACAAATAATGTATATTCAAATACAAGAATGACATTGAAACAGAGTGAAATAAAGAGAAATTGAGAACATAGAAGAGAGTGCCCAGAAATTGAATTACCTGAAATAAGTTGATTTCGAAGTTTGCAAGTAACTTTCCGGTGAGAGAAGTTTGTTATCAGATCGTTGTTCTAGCTCCTTGAGCTTTCGATGCATATGGCCTATAAATAGAGTCAATGAGCCAAAAGGAATATTATCCTTTTATTTATTTATTTATTTATTTTCACTTTTCCAATATTTGTGGACACAAATAAAAGAAGAGCAACGCTATGCTGACCAAATTATTTATAGAATTTTTTATCTCAAATTAATGTGAGTGATTAGATCAGTGGAGTCTATTAACATCACCAAATATTTAATATATGAGACCTTGATACATCACTTGAAATACAAGATTTGAAAAATAAATTTGAGAAGTACAATTTTATCCATAAAAAAAATTAGGTTTGTGCAATACTCTTATATTGACCAAGATTTTTTATCAAATTTTTCATTAAGTGATGTGGTACAATCTCCGATCCACTTATTTAATTTTAAAAATTATGTCACATCACTTGAGATAAAAAATTTGATCAAATTTGTTGAGCAGTATAGCAGTGTTGTGTATAAGTGATGATCCTTAAACTTAATTTGTAAATGGGTAATACTATGTTTATCAAGTTTTTTATTCTAAATGATTTAGCATAATCTCCATCATTGAATATTAATGGGACATATTTATTTGACGGTGAAAACAGTGTCACATCACTTGAGATAAAATTCTTGGTAAAAACCTTTGATCATGTTGTAAATAAATTTAATTTATTGATATAATCATTCATATAATTATTTTTCTACTCCACTATTTTACTATCACTCATTTAAAGTTCTTTAAAAAACTAGCCACTAATTTAATTTTTTTCAAAACTTAATTTTACAATCTTAACTTTTCATAATTGTTTTATCACTCTATTTTTTCCAAAATTATTTTATCACTCTATTTTTTTTATCTAACTTTGCAAATGGTACGATGACAATTAAAAAAAAAAAGAAAAGAGGATGGAAAGGAAAGAGAATGTGTGTAAATTTTGTGTATGGCACGTGATTGTCTCTAATAGACAATACTTAAAACTCTTTTCAATACTATACTAAAAAGTAAAAAGCAAAAACACCCAAAAAAATAAAAGAACCTTAAAAAAATGATAAATGAACCCTAAAAATAGTAAATAAACCCAAAAAAATGGGTGTACCTCAAATGATAATAAAACTCCACCCGAAAAATAGTATAAAAATCTAAAAAAATAATAAGTAATGTGATTAAATTTTTTTTAGTACTGTCATTAAATCTTATATGATACAAATCAAATTAGACCTTATTCTAACTGGGTAGTGATCCACTCTCAACTTTCTATGTGTGACGTGACTATTGGAGCTTCCTTAGGCAAAACTTTTTTTTTGCATTGTCTTTATTGCATGTGAAGCAAATTATGGGGAGAGAAGTTTGTTATCAGATCTTTGTTCTAACGCCTTTGAGCTTTCGATGCATATGGGTTATAAATAGAAGCACCGAGCAAATGGGAATATTATCCTTTTATTTATTTATTTATTTTCAATTTTCCAATATTTGTGGACACAAATAAAAGAAGAGCAATGTTAGGCTGACCAAATTATTTATCAAATTTGGTATCTTAAATTAATGTGCGTGGTTAGATAAGTGAAGTCTACTAACTTCACCAAATATTCAATGTATAAGACTTTAACACATCACTTGAGATACAAGATTTGAAAAATAAATTTGGGAAGCACAGTTTTATCCATAAAAGAAATTAGGTTTGTGCAATACTGTTATATTTACCGAGATTTTTTATTAAGTTTTTCATCAAGTGATGTGATACAATCTCCTACCCACTTATTTAATTTTAAATTATGTCACATTACTTAGAATAAAAAACTTAGTAAAATTTTTTGATCAGTATAACAATGTTGTGTACGAGTGATGCTCCTTAGACTTAATTTGTAAATGGGTAATGTTATACTTACCAATTTTTCATTTCAAATGATGTAGTATAGTCTCGATTATTAAATATTAATGAAATTCATTTATTTGATAGTGAAAATAGTGTCACATCACTTAATAAGAAACCTTTATCAACATATAAGTGTTATAAATTAATTTAATTTATTGATATAATCATTTTTCTACTCCACTAATATATTATCACTCATTTAAAGTTCTTTAAAACATTAGCCACTAGTTTAATTTTTTTTTCTAAAACTTAATTTTACAATCTCAACTCTTCATAATTGTTTTATCACTCTATTTTTTTTTAGAATTTTTTATCTAACTTTTTAAATGGTACGATGACAATAGAAAAATAAAAGAAAGAAAAAAGAGGATGGACAGGAAAGGGAATGTGTGTAAATTTTGTGTATCGCACATGATTGTCTCTAATATACAATACTTAAAACTTTTTTCAATACTTTACTAAAAAGTAAAAAAAAAACAGCCAAAAAGATAAAAGAACCTAAAAAAAAATGATAAATGAACCCTAAAAATAGTAAATAAACCCAAAAAAATGGGTCTACCTCAAATGAAAATAAACTCCACCCGAAAAATAGTATAAAAATATAAAAAAAAATAAGTAATAAGTAATGTGATTAAAATTTTTTTAGTACTGTCATCAAATCTATATGATACAAATCAAATCACACCTTATTCTAATTGGGTAGTGATCCACTCTCAACTTTCTATGTGTGACGTGACTATTGGAGCTTCCTTAGGCAAAACTTTTTTTTTTTTTTTGGCATTGTCTTTATTGATATATGACTTATAACTTATAAGCTACCATTTTTCGCATGAACCGTCCTCACTTGTCTCAACTCACTCTCCATTCTCTCTAATCTATGTGACAATGGTAGCTTCCTAGGAACACCATGTTTTGGAGTTGTATACAGTTTCAGAAAGGAACAAAAAAATAGTATCATATTTATAAGTATTTTTATCATTATTGTGGTATTGAAAAAAATAAAAAAAATAATTATCACAATAATATTAAAAATATCCACAATAATAATAAAAATACCTACAAATATAATAAATTATCTACAAATTTGATAATTTTTTGTTTGTACGAAAGAAAAATGATAAAAATAATTATCTCAACAGTGTTAAAAAACACTCACGACAGTGGTAAATTATCCACAAAAGTAATAAAATGACCCATAAAAATTATAAAAATATCTATTAAAATAATAATTTTTATCATGTTTTTAGTATTCTTTTTACTGTAAAACACTCTTTGAACTACCACAAAATAAAAAAATTTTACACCGAAAAATAATTTTTAGGTATCATACTTTTTTTTTCCTCAATAAGAATATGACAAGTGTGAAATCTTTTTAGTTTATGCTTTTGATAGGATTAGGAAACAATTTCGCCTCTTCAAGTATACTCATTTTGTTTTTTATTCTTTATATTATATCATTATAATCACTTAAATTTTTAATGTGTTGTTTGGATAAAATAAAATAAAAACGGTTTAAATTGACTAATAGAGATCGTTATGTCTCCTGTGACCACACTTGAAGAGTGACTTGGGTATCTTAAGTTTATAATGTATGTCACTTGAATTCGATAAATTTGAAAATTCGTGTTACTTTGGTTTCTTAATTTTCAAGAGTTGTCTCTAAGTGTGGTCACATAGGACAAGTATAAATTTTTTTATTAGTCAACTTAGATGACCATTTTAGATTTGAGAAATTTAAGTGAAAAAATTACAAAAAAAAAAAAAATTCTAGATACCAGTGAATTACATGGGAGATCATTACTATAGTTTTTTCATTCTTTATTTACAATTTCTCAATCATGAGGATTTGGCTGAAGATCTTCGACAGCTCATGGTTGGGACTGCCATAGAAAAAGAAGATCACTGCTTTAAACAACTTGAAAAGTGTTGTGATTTTTCTCCAAAACCAGGGGAATGGCATTTCTGAGACGAAAGAATCGTATCTATTTAAATCAAAATAGAATAGGTTAGAGTACTTTTATCGATAGAGTTTTTATATCTGTGTATAGAATCGTTTTTATTTTCTCCCTTTCTGTTCTTAACATATTATGCACTGTTGGGTCAAAATCCGTGAGATGGTTTGAGACCATCTTTTCTAATTCAATAGGTCACTTTTCATGTACTTGAAAACTCCCAGGCATGAAAACATAGACTTGTCTGAATCTTTCCTTGCCCCCTCCCTCCTCTTGTGAGGACAAAATTAGGAAACTTCCTGCTAAGATTTACATAGTTTGTGGAGATTGAATTGTACAAGGGTAAAAGATTCTTGAAATTGAAGAGGGATTGAGTCCCTGGAGTACTAGATAAGATTGATAACCAGTTATATCATATTGAATTTGAATATTTATTCTTTTTATTATTAACATTTATTCAATTTATTTATATTGTCAAATGTATATCGTGTTTAAGTTTTTGTCATATATAATGGAGTTGTTTTGTCTAATATCAAATCATGATTAATGCTTTATCAGACGATGTAATGGATGAACTTGGTTATGACCTGAATTCACTAAATTGTTATCTATAACAAAATTTTCACTTTAATTTCGTGTCGAGATGACAAATGATATTAAAAATTATCGAATCTACTACTAACGATGTGAATTTTGTGCCGTTCATTAGACATAAATATGTGCAATACTAAACATTCACTAGTTTAACCATTACTGCCTAACAAAAATGGGATCTACAGCCATTTCATTAAAAAAAAATAATTGTTCAAAAGGAATTTGAAAAACAACTTATTTATCGAGTCTCTCTCTCTCTCTCCCCTCTAGAGTGGTGCAAATTCCTCAGATGAAGGGCTCTTTTGCTAAAGCACCAAATCCAATTATATATAGTCCACAGGAAACCATGTGAAATGGTGCACTTGGGCTAAAATTGGGCCGCTTCTAGGACACCCAATTAGTACATGCAATAACCAAATATCCACCCAGAACTCCCCAGAGAGAGAGAGAGAGAGAGAGAGAGAGAGAGAGGGCAAGCAAGGCGGATCATCGGGTGGCTACGCCACTCCGGCAGCCGTGGTATTTTGGGGAATGTAATTGAGACCATAAGTGTTTTGCTTAAGTCCCTAATTCTATCAAGTCGACTCTAGTTAGGTTAGAGTCGGGCTATGACTCAACTGGCTTGAGCAATAGTTTAAGCAATGTCACACAGTTTATGTCTTCCATAACATAACATAATTAGAAACGAGCCGGAAACAATTTATCACAGACTCATCAATCAGCTTCTGAAGCTGCAAAATTGAGCATAGGTTCTTCTTTGTTTGTATGTAATTAGAAACACCTTGTGGCAAAACATAACACAAAAGTCTTCCCAGAGGATTCCACGTGCCGAATGCTACTCGGGTCAAAGTGTAAGCTAGTAATGTTTTCGGCTACTTGACTTTCGCTATTTAGGGTGCAGCATTCCACCGCTTCGTCTAGCAGCACAGCACTTGTATTGCTCTCCTACAATCCTGTTTTCATGGTTTAGGAATCACAAATACAACTCCCGACGTATTTCTCTGGCCACAACAAGAAGCAGACCACATCTATATTGCTTTTGAAATACACAAACATTGAGCATTCATTTTTTGCATGATGCTTCTCCAAATGATTCATAGAAAAAGCCAAACTATATAGACATGAATATAATGCAAAATTACTTACCGCTTGCAAAGTTCACATATGTACAAATTTAACACGTGAACACAAAAACCACCATCTTGCTGACGCCAAATATTCATTACTTATCTACTTGAATCACCACCACTGTTTCAAAATGGTTGTATCAATCCTTCTTGAGAGACACTTGGTATCTTTGCAAGCGTTAAAGACCACTGGTATTTTTTAGGATGCAATCTAGAATGGTACATTACAATTTTAATTTATTGAGCTTTACACTGCAAACTCAACTTGAGAGTTTTAACTCAAAAAAAGCTCATCTAAGAGCACGAAAGCAAAGCATCATCATCGTTCTTCAATATGATCGTTGTCATCCACACTAAACACAGAAGAAAGAGTCGACATCCACGCCTGCAAGCCACTCTGCTCATCCTTCTTCCTCTTTACTTCAAGATTGCGAACAGCCTGCTTTGGAACTCCACATGTCATGAGAACAACACCAAGAGATTTGAATGTGGAATCATCAGGTTGAACACCAGATTCCAACATCTCCTCAAAGGTTGCCATGGCCTCCTTGAATCTCCCATCTGACGCATACAACCCAAGCATGTGATTATAACTCAACAGATCAGTCAAGAGTCCTAGTTTTCTCATCATTTGTGCAATCTGGATGGCTTCTTTAAACCGACAAGTTCTCTTGTACATACACAACATCATAGCATATGAAAATTCGTTTGCTTCCCCTTTCCTCTTCATGCTCTCAAAAATCTCTTCTGCTTGTTCGACCATCAATCGCTCACTGTAAAGATCAATCATACAATTTGAAGAATATACATCGGGACCAAACTCAAATGATTGAAGCAATTTGTATGTTTCTTGTGCTTCTTCTAAATATCCAACTTTGGTATAAAGCTTGATCAGTGAATTATATACAACAGTATTCATGGGTAACCCTGATTCTCTCATTGCATCTACATAACTTACAGCCTCTTTAACATTTCCAATATCAGCAAATGCATTTATCAACACAACGTAAACAATAATATCAGGCTGCACATTAGACCCAATCATCTCATCATATACACCCACTGCTGCTTCCAACTGACCTAATTTTGCAAAGCTAGAGATAACAGCACAATAAGTGACGCAGTCATTCACCAATCCTGCCTCCTTCATTTTCCTCAAATATGTTTTTGCTTTTAGTGGCAGGTCGGCACTAGCTAGCATTTGAATGAGCGAACTAAAGCTACACCTATCCGGAACTACACCATGTTTTTCCATGCTATCAAATAAGTGGCATGCCTCATCATATCTCTTGCTGATCCCATAAGCCTTGATCATCACATTAAACTCAAGGGCACGTAGTTTTTTCCTCTCTTGACAACAATTGAAAACTTTCACAGCTTCCACAACGTGCCCACGCTCCCCAAATGCATCGATGTTGGCAGAGTAGCAATCAGAACTCATATTCCCCTCAAGATGAAACCTCTCAAACCATAACCATGACTTCTCAAGCATCCCAGCTTCTATATACATTCTAGTCAATGCTGACTGGGTAAATTCATCAATATCAAGACCCTTTCCATCCATCTCAGCGATGAGGTCTTCTGCTTCAACAACCATATGCCTTATAGACAATGCATACAAGAGGGTGCGGTAACTCACAAGGTCTGGCTCAAGGGAAGTCTCCTTCATCTTTCTAAAGAAATTTGCTGCCATGTTAATATTGTCATGCTTAGTATGAAGGGAAATAAGGATATTATACGTCCTTGTGTCCGGGAGACACCCAAGCTGTTCCATTTTCTGTACCAAGGAAGCGACTTCCTCTAGATGGCCATTGTTACCACAAATGTGAATCATTGTGTTAAAAGTCACCGTTGTTGGCACAATCCCTTCTCTGAGCATCCTTGCAAAAGTTTCAGATGCTTCTTTAAGTTGCCCTGCCTTCCCGTACGTATCAATCAAGGTATTATACGTGTACGAGCTCAAACAAACGTGAGCTTGGGAGTCACCATCAACCATGTTCTTTCCTGTTAGTCCACTAATTCCACCTTTCTCTGCCTTATATTTACCAGATGACCAATTCTTGAAAAATTCCTCCGCCTTGTTAAATTCCCCCGTCCTCTTGTACATTTGAACGACAGTCCCCATGGTCACCTCATCGGGTTCCATCCCTTGTTTATTCATCAATTCCAACAACTTAATTGCTTCTTCCTTACATCCACCTTTACTATAAACATCAATCAAAGTGCCATAAGTCGAATTTATTGGCTTAATTCCTTTCTCCCCCATCTCAACCCACAAATCCTCCATCAATCTCCACTTCTGCACTTTCCCAAGAATTCGAAACATTACGTTATAATGAATCACATTAACTTCATAGCAATCTTTCCTTTTAAACCACAAGAAAATCTCCAATGCCCTTTCCCAATCCGGCTGCTCCTTCAAAATAATAGTCCTTTCTTTATTACTCAAATTATTTTCCCATGGTCTCAAAGCCTCATCCAAATCACTGGTTCTTTCCAGAGCTTCCAAAATTGCCGGAATACAACCTCCATATCTCAACCATTTCTTCGAACATTTGGTCTGCGCTTTCCCCTCCCTACCAATTTCCCCATTCCCCGACCTTATTTCAATCCCAAAATGTCTCTTATTCTCATTTCCACCACCAACCCAATTGTTCCTTCTCTTTTCTCCATCTGGGTTTTTGGAAGAACCATTATGGATCAAGACATCCTTGTTTTTTGTGTCATGGGCAGGTAGTGTATAAACCCGGCCTAGTGTTTTGGTTACCCCTCCTTTGTGTGTTTCAAGAACATGTTGTTGGTCTCTGTGTTTCTTGATGGGAGCATGTTCAAGTTTTTGTGGTGGGGAGACTGAAACCCCTATGCTGGGTGAGGTCTTGGTGGAGCTCAGTATGTGGAAACAGTTGGTGTGTACATGTTGAAACTTCACAAACATTTTTCGTTGCTCTCTTTTTCACATATGGGTGCTGCACAATGCTTGCTAATTCTCTTCTTAGGAAACCATGGGTGGAACAAGAAGAGGTTATTTCAAATTTATGGATGCCAAACAGAGAAGATTTTAGAGATTAAATGGCGGACTGAAACAACAAAAGCTGCGAAATGTTCATCAGTCTGCGATGTGAAGTCTGAACTCCAGTCCAAAAAAGGGTAATGCTAAGTTACCCAAAAAAATTTCACCATCTAATATTTAAGGGCTAATATCAACTTGCACTCCAAAGATCACTAGAATTTTAATTTATACCCTTAAAATTTAAAAATATCAATTTATACTTGTTTTGTTTTGGACAAAATATGTACAAAAGAAATACACACAATAATTTACACGGCAAAACTCAAAACACACATAGAGAGGAACCCACAAACCAATTCTTCTAAAACGAATTGGCAATGAGCCACCTATACTCACAGAACTAGTGAAGAGTAACCGATGTGGGATTGAAACATAATTTTTTTAGACAGAGCATGCACAGAAGAGTATATAAATACGTATCAATATGTACTTGAGAGTAACTGCCATCTATTTTGTATTTAAAAAAGTTTGAGTTAATTATAAATTGCACCCCCTTAAATTTTAAGTATTTCACATTTATGTTCCAAAAAAAATAATTCATCCATTAATGTTTGTTAAATAAATCTCAATTGTATCATGTCATAATATTTTCTTTCGTGTCGTGTTTGAGTTAATAAAAAAATATTTTTAATACAAAAAATATTTTCATGTCGAGGTAATTACGTTGGGTCGTATATTTCACATTTAAACAATTTATATAATACTATTTAATATTTTTTAAAAATTAAAAATATCTATTTTTATCTATAATACTTATTAAATAACTATTTTTCTGTTTAGAGTTGTATTATTTGTATCTAACTTTAATTTGATCGACAATCAAAATATTTGTATCTAAGTGTAAATAAAAAATAGTTATTTAATGAGTATTGTAGGCAAAAAAAGAATATTTTATAATTTTTTAAAAAAATTTAAAAAATATTTTTTATTGACTCGAACATAACGCGAAGATGTTATGATACAACACAATTATAAGTTATTTAACAAACATTAATGGCTAAAATTCTTTTTAGATCATAAATATGAAATATTTAAACTTTGAGGGGTATAATTTATAATTAGTTAAAACTTTTTTAACGGCAAAATGGACGGAATTAGCCCCAAGTGCACAAAAAATATGAATTTATGTCTTTTAGGGTATAAATTAATATTTTTAAACTTTGATAGTACAAATTAAGATGTAAGTGATCTTTCAAGATACCAGTTGAGATTAGTCCAATATTTAATTGACATAAATCTATGATTGATCGTAAAATATTATGATTATATTAAGATTATGATTTGATTTTTAAAAGGTGTAATTTAATTTTTAAAAATTTATAATTTTTAAGATTTTTCATTATATTTTAAATTTATTAAGTCTTTTTTAATTTTAGACTTCGAAATGACCACGTTGACATGGGGTTAAGTATTGTAGTCGAATTATCAGACGATTAATAAAAAAAATAAAACGTTTTTGTTATTCATAATGTGTAACCCTCCTTTAAATGTTCTATGATAGTTGCTTTATGATTGTGAAAATGGCCACTCTTCATTTGATGACCTCTCCTGTGCTCCATTAGCGTCCAAGTTCAAGCCTAGGGCAAAAAGTCAATACGGAGTGCAACTTTGGCGGATCGGACGAATTGAGTGGTTAACTTTAGTTTAATTTATAATTTATAATTTGATTTCAAAATCGAGGTACTCAACTTTAGTATTATCCAAATTGAATTTAAGTAGACTCGGGTTAAATTCAAATTACCCAATTCGGAGTTTTTTGCATTTATATTCGGAATTAATTTGTTTAGGCCTGAAATTAGCCCGTTATTCTAAACCTGATACATACTACATATTATTTATCTGAAATAACAATCAAATGTTTAACATAAAGACCATAACATTTAAAGATCATAATATTTAATTTTAAAGCATAAAAAAATATACTGGACAAAAATTAAATTGCACTTTTCTTAAGATAAAGATATAAAAGCCATAATAGACAAATTAACATATTAGCCAAATTAACATAAAAAATCATATTGGACTCAATATTAAACCATAACATTCGGATTGAGCCCGATTAAATATTTGGGTTGCTCTCGGTAACCCTTGGCCTGACCCGATTATTGCTTAAATTCAATTTGAGTTGATTTTTTTAACCCAGACTCAACTCAAGTATTAAAAATGTCAACTCAAGCTCTTTTTTTATGGGTTAAGTTCAAGTTGAATTCGACTTGGCCCCTAAGTTGCACTCCTAAAAGTCAATGCCCATTTTTAAAATTGGTTCTACATTCTTTTTTTCAATTCAACGGTAAAGAGTGTTCGGATCCGTTTATATGTACTTCGATTAATTCTTTTCTCATTCCGATCAAAAACAGTTCATACACGTCAATACTAGGGTGTTCGTGAAAGATGGTCTGACCTCAAAGAATTGTTAAGATTCGAATTCAAAATATCTAAATTTATAGTTTATTTCTGATATCACTTGAGCTACACTTAAAATTGGTGGTTCTACATTCAAGTCACCAAGGGTCTGTTTGGTATGTGGGATAACGAGGGACTTGGAAGATGAGTTGAGAATAAAAGTCCACAAAACCCATCAAACCCATATTTGACAATTACATTTATAGTCCGGTTACTAAACTCAATCCGTTTTAAGTCTGCAATTTAAACCTATGTTCATGGGTTTCATGAAACCAGGTTGGGGGTGGGTTTCATATGAGGATTAAAAGGTTGAATATACAAAATGACAATTAATTCCCATATACACCAAATAATCAAATATTAAAATAATCAAATAATCAAATATTAAAATCACAAAGACACAAGAAAATGTACGTATAGAAACATGAGTTTAGATTAGATTGGTTAAATGACACAGTAGTCATTTATATACAAATATATTATCATAATAGTGATATATCTGTGCGCATACTAAACATAAGTATAGATATGATTGAATATTGAATCTCATTTTTATAAAAGAGAAGTTTGAGTTTAGAAAAGTTTAGACAAACTAATTCAAACCCCTCTCAAAAAATCAAGCAAACATGCCCCAAGAGATCAAATCAAATCATGAGTCCCTCGTGAGTCGCTCATGGACACATTCCTTTTTTTGCTTTATTTATTTATTTATTTATAAATAACAGTATTTTATTAGAAAGAAATATTACAAAATAATGAGGCATGCTAAAATCTGGATTCTAGTAGATTCAAGTTCTTTGATAAAAAAAAGTAAGATTCAAATTCGAACTTATTGTTTGTTCTTTGAACTATTCATATCTCATCAACTCCTAAACTTCTGCAATCTAATTTAACATTTCCCCCACTTGAGTCAAAAAAACTCATACTGATAGACAGACTTATTCATTTATTTATTTTGTGTGATGGTGGGAAAACCTAACACAAATTTCTTAGATAATCACCACCTTAGCAATAATATAGTATTAAACTTGAATTCTTATATTAGTTTGTCACATAAAGAACAGGACATCTCTCTCATACCTATCTTCAATATTCCAACATTTGAAATCATCCATGATGTTGCATTCATACATCTGAAGAAAACTAGATCAGAAAATTATCAATAGACTACCTGGCAATCTTGTATTAATTGATAGGGTTGACCAGGAAATACTTTGGGTGGGACCCATCCTAGAATGGAGAGCAAGGTTTTTGGTGATCAAGATGTGAAACCCAAAGGCTTCTTGGCAAGAATCTAAAAACAGTTACTTCTCCCTTCAATTTGTTTTAGTATATTAGTTCCAAGAACACATTGAGGAACACAAGCAACAATGAGAATCAATCTCAGCCAGCTCTCTTCGCTACTAGTCTTCTTCCTCTACCACCACCTCAATCTTTTCCATACACAAGCTCAACCATCAAACACTACAGGCTACACATGCACACCCAATGCACCCACCTATCCATGCCAAACCTATGCCTTTTACAGAGCTATGGCACCCGACTACCTCGACCTTGCCTCCATCGGAGACCTTTTCTCCGTTAGCCGCCTCATGATCTCGATTCCAAGCAACATATCATCTCCTACCTCCCCTCTTCTCCCCAACCAATCCCTCTTTGTTCCATTAAGATGTTCATGCAACTTCATCAACATTAGTCTTAGTCTATCCTATGCTGGCCTTAATTTTACTATCAAGAAAGATGACAGTTTTTACCATGTGTCCACCTCTCTCTTCCAAAACCTCACCACCTACCAATCTGTTGAAGTTGTTAATCCCAATCTCATCCCAACCCTCCTTCAATTAGGCACCAATATTCTCTTTCCAATCTTCTGCAAGTGTCCCAACACCACACAATTGCAGAACCAAACCAATTATCTCATCACCTATGTTTTCCAACCTTCTGATACCTTACCCTCCATTGCTTCAAGGTTTGGGTCAAATCTACAGTCCATAGTAGATGTCAATGGACAAAGCATTCAGCCATTTGAGACGATTTTCATTCCGGTCCAACGGGTTCCTCAGCTTTCACAGCCTACTGTTGCTCCTGTTGATCTTGGGAAGACACAGAGGAAAGGTGTTGTTATAGGATTGGCAATTGGCTTGGGACTTTGTGGACTTCTGCTGACATTGGTGGTTGTTTTATGGGGTCATAAAGAGAGTTTGATGAAGAAGAACAGAGGAAAGAATAGAGATAATGGAAGGAAGGGGTTGCAGAAGGAGGTGGAGGAGAATTTGATGGCTGATGTTTCTGATTGTTTGGATAAGTACAGGGTTTATGGGATTGAAGAACTGAAAGAAGCAACAGATTTGTTTGATCAAAAATGGCTTATTCAAGGTTCTGTGTACAAAGGTTGTATAGATGGAGTGATCTATGCCATCAAGAAGATGAAGTGGAATGCCTATGAAGAACTCAAGATCTTGCAGAAGGTAAAATTTGCAACAACTCATTTTCTCTAAGATAACTAGTAAAAATCATTTACAACAACTACAATTTACTCATTTTATGTGATTCCCATTTATTTATTTGTGTTCAATTGTAAAAGGTATCTAGACCAGTTTATGTACACCTCGACTAATTCCTTTCTTAATCTAGTCAAAGACAAACCATTCACTCTAGAACTAGAAAATTTGTAAGCGATAAATCCCTCGTAACTTGACCCAAAGATTTGTGATTGATTACTATATGACCTAAATCATTGGGCCCCACTATCACTCTTATCAAATACCATGCAAGCATCCTTTGTTTTAGTTTAAACACGCAAGGTAAAACTATGCACATTTACTCATTAGATTCGGAATGACGAGAGCATTGTGCATCGGATTGTCTTCAACATAGTTTTTAGCAAACTCATTTCACAAAATTCGACCTGATCCTCTAACATGATCATGTTGGCTCACAATATACATATGACTAGTAACTATGTTCAATAATTTCTCACAAAACAATGGTTAGGTTGAAGTGATGTCCTATTCTTAGTCATTATAAATTTAAATAGGCTATGCTTTGGTCTTTAACATTAAAAAAAAAAATTTTAACAATGTGTCAGCCTGGTCCCTTTGTTTGGATTTGGGTTATAATACATGAATAATGACATTTTTTTTTCGTATACAATTCATATAATACACGTTTACTTTTTGGATTGTTGCCTTGATGGGCGTGGGTATCGGCGTAAGTTCATATGCCATATTTATATTTAATCATCAAATGATGGTAATGTGTTGAAGCATTCTCAACTGCCCAACCTTTACCACTTGGCTAGACATCAATTCATAGACTAGTTTTAAATATGTTATGCAAACTATGATGAATGATTTTTTTTGTTTAAAAAAGAGTAATGTTATTTAGATCTAAAAATCTTTTCTCTTTTGCTGACCTGATATGTGGTTTAATTAGATGAAGAGAAAGTTTTAATATTTGATAAAATTCACAGTCAATCTAAAGGTTATAGTGAATAAAGTCAATAAATAAAGTCTGTTTTTTATATCAAAATAGTATTACTCTTTAAAAAAAAAAGGCGAATTGTACTTAACAACTTAAAAGATTTAAGTATTCTCATTTTGCATCCTCAAAGTTTAGATTTTTCATACTACACTCTCAATCAATTAAAAGTGTTGTAATGTGACGCTTCTATTAGTTTTCGTTACTCATTTCGTCAACGTCAATAGGGTGAGTTTTGATGGAATAAGCAACGGAAGAGCCACACATTGCAACATTTTTAATATATTAAGGGTGCAAGGTGAGAATCCTCATCTTTGTAAGGCGGAAATTGAGAAAACTTAAATCTTTTGGGGTAGAAAGTGAGATTCTCCCTTAAAAAAAAACATTCTACTTTGTCCTATATGTTTTTTGTGCCTTTTTTTCTTTCTTTCTTTCTGTATCCTTTCTTTTACCCATTGGCTGGATAATATTGATGCATCATGTATATGGGTAGAAAGACCAGGGCTACATTCAACACAGTCATCCCTGAATCCTGTTCTTTTTTATATGCATCAGTCGATCAGTATTACAACAATCACTCAACTATTATAATTTTGAAGTTTTCAAGATTGATATGGCCAAAATCCCCACACACGAATTCTCATTATATGATTTGTGTTGAGCCAAACTTCACCCTCTCAAGTTTGGTCCAACTTCTAAGGATCCAGATGTTATTCTTTCCCCATAGAATGGCTTCCCCCCATGAACCCAACTATACTTCATATGCTTTACATTTTTGGGTATTTGACTGACCCATTGAATAATAAGAAAACTAAGAATTTTTCTTTTGAAGGTAAACCATGGCAATTTGGTGAAGCTAGAGGGCTTTTGCATAGACCCTGAAGAATCAAATTGTTATTTGGTCTATGAATATGTTGAAAATGGATCTCTACATTCATGGCTGCATGGAAAACAGAATGAAAAGTTGAGCTGGAAAATAAGGCTAAGAATAGCAATTGATGTTGCCAATGGTCTCCAATACATTCATGAACACACAAGGCCTAGGGTTGTACATAAAGACATCAAAAGCAGCAACATTCTCCTAGATGCCAATATGAGAGCCAAGATTGCCAATTTTGGGCTAGCGAAATCAGGCTGCAACGCCATAACAATGCACATTGTAGGCACTCAAGGTTACATTGCCCCAGAATATCTAGCAGATGGTGTGGTCTCGACGAAAATGGATGTGTTCTCATTCGGGGTGGTCCTGCTCGAGCTGGTATCAAGTAGAGAGGTCATCGATGAAGAAGGGAAGGTTCTGTGGGCGAACGTTGATGGGATTTTAGAAGGGAGAGACGAGAAAAAGGCGAGGAGATTGAAGGGATGGATGGATAATGGTCTTCTGCAGGAGTCTTGTTCAATGGAGGGTGTTGTGAATGTTATGGCTGTTGCCATTGCCTGTTTACATAGAGATCCTTCAAGAAGGCCTAGTATGGTGGACATTGTGTATGCACTATGTAAGAGTGATGATTTGTTTCTTGATGTCTCAGAGGATGGACTATCACCAAGGCAAGTGATAGCAAGATAGGTTGGGATTTGGCATATAAGGCCTGTTTGTGTATAATTTATGCTTATGAGTACTAGAAAAAAACTAAGGAGACAAATTTTCGTGTTTCTTTTTTAAACTCTCCCCTTAGAGTATGTAAAATATTGAAATTACAGTTTTTATTTTTAGTATAAAAGTGGAAAAGGATCTTTAGAGATATGAATCAATTATTGGCACTAATTGATTGTGGGTTCCTCTCAATTTCTAATTTTTATCAATTTTATTTGAGTTTGATCCTCCATCTTTGCTTTAAAAAAAAAGTATAATTATCGAATTTTTAGTGAATATTATAGATAATGGTAGTGGTTTGAAATTGATGAAATGTGAGATTAAGATAATCCAAATTTGTGATGAAATAGTAAAAGAGATAGTTCGCATTTGTTTTGTAACAACACACGGTTTAGAGTTGCACAAACTGTCCAAGTATTAAGTTTATAAGTCGTACAATGAAACTTGGAGAGAGAATGATCAAACAAAGATTAAGACTTGAAATAATCGTATCTGAGAATTAATTTGAGTTTATGTCCGAAAGGTCAACTATGGAAGTCATACTTACTTGAGAGACTAATGGAAAGATATAAGGAGAAAAAGAAAGATCTTTATATGGCTTTTATAGACTTGGATTGGGCATATGATGGAGTGCTAGAAACATAATATGATTGATTTTAGAGAAGAAGATATATACAAGGATGCAATGGTCTTAGTTAGAACAACTACAAGAGAAATCTAAATAAGGAAGTGGTAAAGAGCAAAGATGAAGAGATAATCAAGAGCAAACACTTTTGGTATTTGGGGTCAATTATCCATAGGGAGGGAGAGATTGGAGACGGTGTTAATCATAAAATTAAAACATGATAGACTAAAATAAAGAAATACATTTGGTATATGCATCTCCAACTATGACTTAAATTTTTATTCAAATTTAAGTTAGTATTTGAGTAAAAAGTTTGATTTAATACATAGGGCTCTAATTGACAAACTCAAATTTAAAGAAGGAGAAATTTAAATTTAAATGAGGACAAATTCAAAATTAAATGAGAGTAAAGATGACCATTAGATCTTTAAAAGAGGGTGAAATCTCATCATTAAAGATTTGAGTCTCTCTTAATTTGAGTAAAAAAAAAAGTCTCTCTTGATTTAATATAAGTTTGAATAAGGTTGAAGCAAGTTTTTTAGATTTTTTTACTCAAATTTAAATTTGAGTTTGAAGATACTGTTAATATTTAAGAAAATGCGGGTAGATTGCCTCGTGGATAGGGATGACAATGGACCGGAGAAAAATGGGTATTCGTCCAAATCCGTCTCGTTTGGACCGGAGATAGACTATACGTATTGGACGGGGGACGTATACGGAGATATTCGTATAAACCTCCGCCCCGCCCGTCCTAGTCCCCGTCCCTGCTATACCCGTTAAAAAAAAATATAGATATATATTAATATATAAATAAAAATACTCCTAATTAAACCCTAGCTGCTAAAGAGAAGACCAGAGCCAAGCAGGTGCCCAGGCTCTTGTTTGGTGAAGCCATTGTACTGCTAGCTGCTAGATATTGATGAATTAAATGATTTTGAAGGCACACACATTCCACCATTGGCATTGAGCTTTATATAGAAAAAAAATCAGTGCTTTCATGTGTTAAATATATATTTTATATAAATCATTGCATATATACTACATGCCTGATTGTTTGCCTTTTGGCATGAAATTCCCTTTTGTGCAGAATGTTTGCAACTGTTGGCACTAAATTAAGAAGTATAATTCTTTCATCAGGGTACTATTTTTTTAGATTTTGTTCTCAGTGGTGATGAAAATTTAGTTAAATGGAAGTCCTGCACAACTATATCTTATGATAATAAAAATGATAGGATTAAGTGTTCAATGCTTAGGAGGAAAGTACCTCTTAGTGATATTTTGGACATTTGTTATTTGTGTTATGTTAGAATGTTATACTTCATTATGTTGTGTACCACTAGGAGATTATGTTAGATTATTTAAAATATTATTGAGTTATTTAAAATGTTGAAGTTATTTAAAATTTTGAATTATATTAGCTTAAACTTGGCCAGGAATAGGGGAAGCAGGGACGGAGATGGGGATTAGAAATTTATCTGCGAACGAGAATAGAGATAAAAATTATATTCGTTAACGGAGGTGAATTAGAGATGAACGAAAGTTTTTTAAGTAGGTATGGGAATGAAGACTATACTCCCGCTCCCACTTCAGTCCATCGACATGTTTACTCGTGGAGTGGCGGATGAATGGGTTGGACCCGAACTATGGGCGGGGTCGATACTAAAAGAGAAGTGTGAATTTCACTTTGTATGTTAAAAGATTTAATAATTCTTATTTTATATTGTTAAAAACTATATTTTTATATTTTACTCAAAATACATTAAAAGTGTTACAATATAACTCTTCTGTTAGTTGCCGTTATTTATTACGTGAATGTCAATGGAGTAAATTTTAAAGGAATAACCGAATAAGCAACAAAAATGTTGCATTGCAATATTTTTAATATATTAAGTATGTAATATAAATAATATCATCTTTAGGGTATAAAGTGGAAAATTTTAAATATTTTGGGGTGCAAGTGAGATTCCCCCAAAAGAAAAAGGGCAAAAAACGACGAGACGAAAGCGAGACATAAGCCTATCGCCATCGTATGACTCACCAGTGTCGGAGTTGCAGAGCTCCAACGCCCCTGAAATTAGGGCACAAATTACACACAGACAATACTTACATTTTCCCAAATACATAGAAATCTCTCTCTCTCTCTCTCTCTCTCTCTCTCTCTCTCTCTCTCTATCTCTCTCGTCTGAGTTTGGAGGATAAGGATGGCGCACGGAGGCTACGGCAATCGCAGGCTCGCAGAACGCAAACCGATGAGCAGTCGTCGTTCCAAAACCCTCGGCGTCGACAAGAAGCCTAAGCCCAAAGCCAAACCCAAACCCAATGCCTCTCTCAAAAACCAAATTCGCTCCGTCGAGCGTATGCTCCGTAAGGTATGTCCACTCTCTCTCTCTCTTCCCCATCTCTCTCTCTCCTATTTGGGTTCTCTGTTCTACTCTACTCGTTAGAACATCAAGAATCAAGAATCGTGATGAATGAACACAATCTCTGTGTGTGTGTGTATATATTTATAAGTATATGTGCTGGATTGTATATGGAGTAACAAATGGTTTTCAACTCAATGAATTTTTAAAGGATATTCCTCCTGAAGTGAGAGAGGCCCAGCAAAAGAAGTTAGAAGGACTCAAGAGACAGCAAGAGATCCACAGTCGTTTAGCTGTGGAACGTAAAATATTCTTGCGTGACAGAAAGATTAAATTTTTTGGTAAGTTGTTGTTTTTGTACAGTTTTGCACTTTTTCTATTCAACTTCCGAATAATAGATTGAGGAGTGAGTGTTATGCAATGACTCTTGGACTAATTTTTGCTATGGGTAGAGAGAAGAAAGATTGAACGGAGGATAAGACGTTTAGAGAAACAACAGCGTGCTTCATCTAACAGAGCCCAGGAAGGAGAGACTGCCGACCAGCTTTCTAAATTGAAAGAAGATCTTGAATATGTTAGGGTAAGCTCTATTGGACGCTTTTCACCCTTGATCTTTTGCGAGTGGATGCATATCTGAGAGTTTAATTTTCGTTTGAGCTAGATTATGATATGAGCTCTGGATAATCTTAAGTAAACAATGTTAAAAAAAACAAAAAAGAGAGGGAAACACGATATAGAAGGAATCGAACTAGTTTAATTTTTGAGCTAGTTTAATTTTTGTTGTCGTTGATCGGTACTCAGTTAGTTTGTTATATGCAAGGGAGGGTAAAGCTCAAATCAGTTGTCATTTTGGGCTCAACCCTAGTTTGTCCAGTTAGCAAGCTTCAGTGCTACTGAATATTGTGAGACTGGGAATTCTGGAACTAACTCATCAAACAGTTTTTTTTTATGCTTCAATTAATAACAGCTAGTTGTCGGAGTGTTGTGAAATGTTTGTCCATGTGGAGCTAAATTTCATCTTATATTAATATGCTGCAGTTCTTTCCTAAGACTGAGAAATATGTTTCTCTATTCATGGGAGGTGATGAGAGAGACATTGTTGATAACAGAAACAGGTTACGCAAGCAGATTAAGGCCAATATAATTGCTGCTGCAGTTAGTGGGAAGGATTTGGAAGGTATTTTCTTTGTACTGCTTATGTTAATAATCCATGTTCTAGTTTTTTGAGAGTAATCTCGGATGCTTTGCTATCTGGAGTTTGGACTTGAATATGGGTGTCATGTTCTGTTAAGAATCTGAGATGGAAGTTATGACGAGTCTCTGTAAAACTGAGGATTTTGCTCAAGCCAGTGTCAATGGAAAATTTATGAACTGTTTCATTGGAGAACAACACTTATGCATGCAGAGTCATACAATGTCAGAGTTGGTAACTGGTCATAGAGTGTTTTACCCTGCATATTATGGGTTTTTTTTACTTAGGATTTGGAGTTTGAAAAGTTTAGTGTTGCAAACTCCCAAAAAGATCAGCAAGCGGGATGTTGTTAGTTGATAGTGCCACTGCCACCTATCATTGCCTTTTGTGTTATGACATCCTAATATTGTTTCGTTGTCTACTAAAACCTACGGTCAGGTGCTCCACTACAACAGACATCTGCCGGTAATAGTTATGGGGTCGTGAAAGGTGGCTGGACTATTCCACCACTAAGAACTTGTCTTTGTCTTCTCGAGTCACCACCGTGAGCTTACTTATAGTAAAAGCTTCAATTAAAGACATTTAGTTGTGAAATAGTTTCATTTTTGTGATCATATTGGTCAAAAAAGGAAGTTGGGAACAAGAGATTTTACCATTACGCGGAAGTTAAAAAGCACTAGCGTGCAAGCCATCAGACTTATATTTATCTCCTCTTTTACTTCATAGCATCAAGGGTTTTGAAGTTATCCCATGAGGCCATTGAATCAGGGGAAAGGACAAATTTTTTGAATTTTGTTGAAAAACCACCAACGCCTACTCGTCCATCATCTCCGGGAGAATGGGATTTGCCCATAATTTAGAAATCCTAGATCTGCGAAGAGAGAATGTAAATTATCTTTGTTGATGTGATCAATTCAGTGCAGTCAATCACTATTTTGTGTGTTCTCTTGCTTTACATCTCTATTATTAATACGTAAATCACCACATATTTCATATATCATACTTTCTTTTGCCCTTTTTCTACCATTTTTTTGTAATATTACTTTACCTGGGGGACATGATTGCTTTGTGCTCATCTCTTTCTCTGTAGCATGTTCTAGTCATTTTTTGTTACCTTCTGTGAAGATTACTTTTTAATTCATTCATCACATTATTATCCGTCAATAATTTTAATTTGTAGCTGAACCCAGGTAGTTGGGACTGGACTTTGTTAAGTTTAGATTATGAGGCACTTCTTCTCATGCCTTTTTTTCTTTTTTTTTTTTTTTGCAATTAGAGGTCATTATAAATAAGAGGAGTAACTGACAAGCCCCAGATGAAGCCTCTAAAAGATACAAAATATTGACCTGAGAAATGACAACTACCATGGACTGTTTTTTTTCCATTGATGAATATAAGTACTTTGTTTCCTCTAAACTCATCGAGAATATAGGCTGTGGATATTCAAGACTTTGACACCAAAAAATTTCTGCTGCGTGGTCAAAGGTTTCCCAGTTGTTGGCTGAACCTCGTTTTACACATTGAAGAGGAGATAATGCTGGCTGGTCTCTTGCTGTTTTTCCATTACCATACTTATTGTACCTGCTAACTTTTTGTATGCTCATAATTATTTCTTTCATTGATAGTAGAATTGATGTTTCTTGGGAACTTCTCTTCACAGAGACAGGGAGTGAGGATGATGGGCTTTTGGATTTAAGTGAGGACGATTTCTTCTTAGGTGGAAGCTCAAGTGATGAAGCTGATGCAGATGATGAATGGACAGATAAAAGCACAAGGTAAATGTTTTATTCGTGGATGTGCAATTTCAAAGTTTTTATTTTTGTTCAGTTGCTTATCTTGTACCAGTTCTGAGGACTACATCTGTGTCCCTCTTTGATCCTAAAGGTTACAGTAAAAGTAAAGGGAATTATAGATGGGAGAAGTATTCTATCTTTGTGACGAATAGGTGTATTAAATCATGGTTTGAAGGCGCCTTGATTGGTACAAGTGGCAGCTTTCAACTATTTAGGATGAATAACTGTGTAAATATTATTTGGTCGTTATTGGTGTAGCTTTCTTGTTAGCATCAGTATCAATTTCCCACATGTTTCCGATGAATATTTGTGATCCAGATCTTTATTGGTATGCTAGTAGGGTGGCTAGTTACCTCTTTGGTTGTTGGTTGTTTTGCTGAACTTTGTTCTTGGTTGAAACTGCTTCATACAATTTTATCATTTGCTTTGCAGGGAACAAGCTTCTAGTGCTTCTGGCAAAGCAACTTCTGGCATGTCCAGTGATGAAAGGAATCAGGTTTTTAATCAGGCTTTGATATTTTACTGCTATAAGAAGATGTGTTAAGCTAGCAATAGATCTGTGTACTCTTCTCCTTGACTGTATTTATTTAGAGGCAGATTTCTGCTCGCGCTCTAATGCCACCTCCTCGGCCATCGAACAATAAGTCTTCAAGTTCAGTTCATAGTAAATCAAGATTTGGAGGCTCGTCGAGTAGGAGCTCGTATGCACGTGGTGCTGAAATATCCACATCAAGCAACACATCAAATAGCATCAGTGAATCTTCCTCTAGAAATAGGGGATCCTTTGATTCACACAGAGGCCATAGCAGTAATCTAAGTTCCAACTCTGATGCTCGGAAACCCCGAAGAAAGAGAAGGCCCAAGAAGAAAAAACAACAGGTGTTATATTTATGACAAAAATGTATATTCTTTCCAGTTTTTATGTGATTTTTATAGTCTACCATGTCTCCTTGAGAATTTGTCTGTTAATAGTGCTTTTGCTGGACTTATATTATTATTTTCCTGTTTTTTAGAATCTGACTCTATGGTCATATTCTAGTGTTGTGTTCCATCCTCTGTCTGCAATTCATACCATGGGCCCAATAGTTCTTTTATGTGAATAAGAATAGGGTCATCATTTTTTGTGGCATATATTTCTGTTCAATATAGCATTCTGGGGCATATCTATTATGGAAAGGTTAAGGTAAGGACAAGTTCACTTGACAAAATATAGAGTCAACTTATTAGATGATGATCCAGAATGGCCATGTTTATATTTGTCAAAGGATAGGGGTCTGATTTAAATTGCATCCATATCTTTTTTGATTGTCGAGACGTGGTAGGAGGGTCGATGCCTTAATTATCAGACTCCGATTCATCTGATAATCAACGGATTAAGCTCCTGTAATTTGAATATTAAATGCAAGATTCTATATTAGGTTATTCAAAAATCAAGGGCCATGTTGACCTTCTGTGGGGCCGTTGAGGAATCCAAATGACAGTTTGGCTGTTTGTCAAGCCTATAGTTGGTCTTTACTGGCCTTCATCCATTTGCCTCCTGTCCAAAAGGGTCATGTATGGATCCTTCAATACAAAGTGTACTACTGTTTTTTCTGATTCTCTTTGCTGTTCTGCTCTAAGAATGTCTATTACATTTATTTAATGTGACCCCCTGTGGTTCAAAAATCAACACATAAACCCCTTGCGATGTTGGACTAAAGTGCTGTCATTGCTTATTCCGTCCAAATTGATGGAAAGTATAAGACGCGCTTAAATCGAGGTTGGGCTTGCTAAAAGATTAATTACACAATTCAACAGACAAATAAACCCTTATATTATTTTTCAAAAGACAAAATTATCCCTTTTTTCTCCATCTCTTCATATGTTATTATCAGATTTAAAGCAAAGCCTAGTGCCCAGCAACCCACACGGACCTCTCCTTCAAAGCTTGCACAGCTCTGGCAACGTGAACAGTGTGCCCATTACCCACACCGCTCCTTCCCCCCCACACACAGTGCACTGGTGCACCAACAGACATGCACAATTTGATCCACCGCAGCCACCACCTACTGTAACCACACCAACAAAGCTCACACTCACTACTGCAGATCCACTACAAACCACATTTATCACCACCACACCTATAAACACCACCACTTCTGTACCTCCATTACCATACCCATCATTGTTGAACTTACACTCTCTCTTGGCAAGTTTGTTTTTTAGCAAAACCTATTTTGGTTTTGATTTTAACAAAGTGTATTTGATTGAATGAATATTTGATGAAGATTAGGTGATTGTATTGGAATGTGTTGTGGTTGACGAAATTGTGCCCATCATAGGAACCCATTTGAGATTTTAAATAGTTTTGAGATTTTTTGTTATATAAAAACATGTAATTATTATCACACACACACACACACATATTGTGTATATATGTAATTATTTGGAAAGTTTTTGGGATTTTTCTGATTATATATATATATGGACATTGTATTCTTTTGGATCCACTCTATTCCGGTGACTGCATAATAGGTAATTTCTTGCCATGTATCATGTATAATATAACTGTAGGTGGTGGTTTTGTTGAAGAAACTTATTTTCTAGGTAAAGTTTTATCTTATGTTGTGGTTGAAGGCATGCACCGTCTGGATTAATTAAAGAATTTCAATGGTTGGACCACTGGTTGGTAGTCAACTGGTGTGTACATTAGGTAAAAGATGACGGCTTGCCATGGTGTGTAGTGATGGTTAGCAGTGGTGATTTAGTGTTGGTGGGAGTGACCGGTGCTTCAGTAGTGATGCATATTTGGTGAAGGTGCAGTGGCGGGGTGGAGATGTGGTAGTGAAGTTTATCAACTTTCATCTAATGGAATGCAGATAATGAATGATTCATGCTTAACCTGAAAGTTTTTTGACCCAAACTTCTATTCTTTTCCTTTTCCGTTTATCTTTGCCAATTGTGTTTATTATTTGCACTTTCGTATGTTGCAAATGGGTAATTTTATGTCTTGATGTAATGCCCTATTGTTGGTTTAATGAATCGTCAATATTTTTTTGAATGAGGAAAGAGTACGTGTTTTTTTTTTTCAAATCAAATAGTTTGTTGTTTTTATGTATTTTTCCCCAATTAGGTTGATGGATAACTGTACTAATTCATATCTTTTTTTTTTGGTTGATATCGACAGGTGTGATTCTGGAGAACATTGCTGAACATCTGTAACCAACTAAAGCAGCTGAGAGGATGTTTGTGCAAGATTCTCATAAGTTGGGTTTGGCCATAGCTTTCTGTTTCCACCTTTTAAATTGTAAGCACAGCTGGGAATCTTTTTTGTGCTTTCTATGACAAGCATTTTAACTGCATACACAGTGAGCCATGTTTATTTATGATTAATTTTCTTGGTAAATAATCGAATGATGTCACCATAATTACCATGATGGTTTGAACCTGTCACCCTTGCTTCTGGTAACAAAATCATTTTGAAAAATTCTTTTAGGCTGCGGATGCTATATGTAAATCTTTCGTGGAATCGTTATCTGGTCTATGTAGGAGCTTACACCTATCTTATTGATATGGATATAAGCAATGCCATTATTATGCCTAATAGGGCGTTTAGGAGTTCTGTGTAGCCCTTGTAAACCTTCAAATCAATCTTCCTAAGGGGGGGCTCCATCCATGCTAACTTTACGAAATTTATATCTTGGTATCTTGTCGCTCTCCAATTGTATTTAGTTTTCAACGGTGTTATAGAAAAAGTGAAAAAAGACGATTCAATGCACAAGACTCCTGCTTAGCTTCCACCACGCACAAAACACGTGCATATATGATGAAAGTTGTTAACAAGATTAGAAGGCTGAGACTTACTTTCTAGCAGGTGCAATTTCACAGTGGTGCTTGGTGTCCAAACCACCCTTTGAGCCACCGTCTTCCACCAACTCGGGCGATGCCCTCTTGTTGTTTCTAACACTAGAAACCATTTCCTTCTGAGACTCATCCGTCCTCTCGGTAACCCCTGTCTCAGCTTGGTGGCCTTGAGGTTGAGATCATCCTCATGAACCGTCCCAACGCTATACATTTTTTCAAACGATTTTTGCCAACTTTGCACCACTGTCCGAACGAACTTATCTACAATGCCTTCTTTTGAATGAGTTTTCTAGAGGCATATGTGCCAGAAGCCAGGTTTGGTGCACAAGTTTTGCAGAGAAGTTAGATAAATGTGTGGTTCTATATAGTCATATTACATAGGGTTGCACTACCAAAAATAAACTTTCATTATCTAGTCTCTTTTTCCTTAACCAAACGTGACACATGTAAACTATTTTTATTTTATCGTTTCACCTTATTTTCTTTTTTCAACAATGAACAAGTATAAATAACACAAACAAAGGTGAATAATTCAAAATTATTTTTTGAATACGATGTTGAGGATTTGTACAAGTCTTTGTATTGTTTTCAAGTGCATGAATTTAGGACAAAGGAAAGCTAAACTGTCGGCAGCATTAGCAGCACCTTTGAGGCAAGTGTTCCTACATCTAGGGGACAGTCCTAGCCGCATATATGGAAGACTTTGGGTCTGAATTAGGAGAAAATATTTAATACAACGGTCATATCCTGTCAGCATTGATGATATAGTATCATCAATTAATAAAAAAAATATAAATTTGGCAAAATAAATTTGTCTTGGATAGTTATTGGCTTGTGGGGTTTATTTCTTTATTTGTCTGCATATTATTGATTGATAATATTATATGACAATACTGATATTGTATCATCGTTGCATTGAATATTTTTCCTAAAGTACTTGGATTGGGAGGAAAGAGAACAAGGAAAGTTGGATTGGGAGGAAAGAGAATAAGACCATCCTTAACTTTTTTTTTAAAAAAAAAAGACAAAAACTCTTTAAAACTTTCTCCAATAGATTCATACTCATACCAAAAACCCTTTTTTAAACCCAAATCAAGATCTAATGATCATATTTTTCTCTCTTTTAAATTTGAATTTGTATTCATTTAAATTTGAATTTCTCTTTTTTTAAAAAAATAATAGTGTTACATTGACCAAAATTAGGGATTAAAAAGAGTGACCAAATGATATGACAACTGACGTTGAGAGTTTACTGTGCAAATACTCTTCAAGGCTGAATACTCACACAAAAATTTTTAGCCAAAATTCAAGCCTAAAATCAAGAAAAGAAGTGAATTAACCTCAGATTCCAAAATTGAGAGATACGGTGGAATTCCTCAATTTGCTAACAGGAAGAACCAAACCAAAAGAGATTTTGTTTCGATCATCCAATATTTTCAGGTATTTTCGACTTCCACTAGTGGCTGGAGTAGTTGGTTGTTTCATGGACAATGAATGTGCATACCTGTTATAAAGTCTTCATGACCCCTGATGATTCCAATCTTCACAATTCCTGGGTGTGGGGCATTGATACTTTCCTTTGCTTTTCTTGCCTGCAATAGATTCCATCAATCATACAAATTATAAATTGAGTACGCTACTTTTTTTGGTATCGTTTTGAAAATTATAACGTTTAAGTAACACCCTTTTGAGGATCTAACTTATAACTCAAAAAATTATTATAAATCATAAAATATTATGATTAATCATGAAAAATGCAATTTTTTTAAATTAAACTGCATCATTTAAAGGTTAAATTAAAACTTTTTGGTACAGTAATTGCATCTTCAACTTTATATGTTCCATCATGAACTTTTTCTTTTAGACTTTAGGTTTTCAAAATGTCTAGATGAATTGAAGCTAGGTCTAGTATCGTGCTGGGTGTCTATATCATGTAAAGTTGTGTTGTTTTAAAATTAGAGGTTCAACTTATACGTAATTGGGTGGAGTCTGACTCCATGATTCTCGTTAATACGGTGCTTGGGAAAATGGAGTGTGCTTGGCAGTATTTGCATATTCTGTATCAGATCAGAAAGATACTTGGCCTGATGAATTTTAGAATTTGCCATGTTTTTCGTAAAGCAAATTCTGTTGCTGATGGGTCAGCAAATCAGGCTGTGGTTGATCGATTGTCTTGTGTCTTTACCCTGAGTGGGACTGCCTAGAGGTTTGGCTGGATTGCTAGTGAAAGATCAGCACTTACTGTGGGTGAAGGCATCAACGGGGTCTCCTTTCTGGCTTAATTACTGTGTTCTTTGCATTCATTTGTGTTTCTCAGCTTTCCTATGCTTACGTTTTTTAGCCAGAATCATCTTGTTCCACTTGTCTGTGCGTATTAGGGAAGCGGAGAAGAAGTCTTAGATTTTGCCCCATCTATCCTGGATTAGGGGCTTGAATTTTGGGAAGAAAATTTTTGGATTTAATCAAATATTAATCTTGCCCAATCAGCTTTTCAAGTCAATTGTCACCTCATTTGGGCTCTCTTTTTGGTCAGTATAACATTATTATTAAAAAAAGTTTGTCCTAAGGGATACAACAGCATTTCTCTAGGAAGATTTAACCCAAGAGTTTAGGAGAAAGAATGACATGCCTAATATGCCAAGGGGCTAAACCAAATCAAAAAAGCATCTAAGAACATGTTGTCACAACACCACGTCGCAACAAGTGAAATCTCAAAAAGTCTTTGTGACGGCAACAACTCATCTCAAATAAACTTTTTATGATAGCATTGCAGCCACCCGAATTTTTTTTTTTTTTTTTTTTTCTCTAAAACGCTTTTTTGTATTGCCGCAAAAAACTTATCTCAAAAGATCATAATTCTTGTATTGCGTTGAGATTGAGTAGGGGCATCTTGATACAATTGTGTTCCTAAAATACTTCCCAAGAAACTAAGGCCATCCTCATGCCAGTCTTTTGGAGATTCATTATGCATCTCTGTGCTAGACTAGGGTTTAATATCGAATTTTCAGTAGATCATTTGACCATTTACAGTAGAGTATTTGACTTGATTCTTAAATGTTTTTGGTGAGATTAAGAACATGGGATCTCGAGGATTGCTGGAATTGCATTTTCTTAAATCACAAGCATCAATTTTTCATCTTTTTCTTAAACCGCAAGTCTCTTATAATAAAGAAATTGTGTGATACAAATAATTCCTTAATCTCCCAGTACTCCTTTCATGATTCTTGCAAGTTTAAAATTTTCCTTCTTGTTGGTCCTCAATGCAACCTTAGATACAGGAACAACTCAAAGAAAAGGACAACCTAATGACTAGGATCCAACTATTACGGGACTAGATGTAAGCATTTTCACCTATCACATTTATAATATATTTTCTTACTTCGAACTAGTGACGTTCAGATCATACTATAATAATCTTTGCGCATCAAATCACGTCCTCTCATTAATGAACAATAGATTAAGAAAAATATATTGCAAAAACTGTTCAATTCTCATATGTCTGTTTACTACCAATAACCTTTCTTCATAAATAATTTAATGTAATATTGTCAAACGAAAAAAAAAGAAGAAGAAGAAAGATTATCATCAACTCGTCAATGTCAAATTAGCCATCTTTAATATCTCAAACCCAGATATTTTTCACTCACATAGAGATCACCTCAGATCTCATGAGTGGTTCTAATTTGATCTTAATTTTGATCAAGTATCATGGTAGAGCCTAGAAATTCATGGGCGACCGCCTAGTAATTTACTAATAATTGTATGGCATTTACTAATAATTATGTGGTTTTTACTAATAATTGTATGGAGTTGGCCTTTCCTCACTCTAAACTTCTGTTTTTTTACTTTCATAAGTGATAGTCGCTATAGCTATTGCTAGAAGTATCACCAAAAAAAAAAAGAAGCCATATCCTTGCATACTGTTTCCATCTTTAGCGAATGTTGATGCTCCATTTGGTAGGGAGGATGAAAAGTAGGAAAAATATAATTTCTATCCTTTAAGGATGGAAAGTAGGAAGGATACACTTTCCTTTCTTTGTATTTGGTTGGATGGATGAAAAATAAAAATGACTATTTTTTTTTGTTTTTGATTCTGACTTAGATTAGGGGTAATAATAGAGTCGAGTCGTGTCGTGTTAGATTCGTGTTGAGTCATTAAGAGTTTGTGTCGAATATTAATCAAACCTAACTTAACTCATTTAACTAATTGTGTCGTGTCGAGTTGCGAGTCGTGTCATCGTGTTGAGTCGAAAATTTTCAGCTTTAGTTAAGATGGAAAAAATATTTTTTTTTTAATTTAAAATTTTTAATTTTTAATTTTTTTAATTTTTAATTTTAATTTTTTTTTAAAATTAATTTTTAAAATTTTTTAAAATATATATACATATTTTGCCATTGTATTTTTATATGAAATTAATGTATACATAAGATATATAGATAAATAAGTTACATGTTAACACAAATAATTAACTTTCCATCCACTTTTCTTCCGATTTTGGAGGGATTGATTTTGGTGAGTTAGAAGGAAAGTTAATCCATCCACTTTTCCATCCTTCCTACTTTCCTTCCTTACCAAACATGATGTTTTATTTATCCTTCCAATTTTTTATCCTTTCAACTTTCTATCATCGCAATTTTTTATCGTACCAAACAAAGGATGAGAGAAATAAATGGTAGACAGTCTTATATTCATTTGAGGGAGATGATAAGCAGTCTTACCTTCATTGAGAAAGATTGATTCTTGAACTTAAAGGTAATAACTATAACGTATCCCTTCGACAAAAGAATAAGGAATTCATGAAGTGTGAAAATGGTCAAACCCTAGACAATTGAATGATTCTACTATGTTCTTTTCCTGGTTTTTGCCATTTGTAAACTTCAAGGCACTACTTTAAAGACATCAAACAACTTTAGTACAAATGCTGGACATGTTATCGCTGTCTATGGCTGTGTTGAATCATCTTATGTTTGGTCGTTATTGTACAAACAACATTGTAGTAGCTCAGTCATGAACCCTACACAGTTGGCTGAATCCTGTGGTGTATGACCTACGACCATGGCAATGAAAGCTGTAAATTAGCTGGGGCTCAACACCAAATGGGTTCAAATTGTGTCCTGTCAAATTGATGCAGTCCATACCAAATCTATTTACAATCTTATACAGTTAAATCCTAAGTTAAGTTCGTATCAAACTGTTTATTAAGTTGGTCTGACAAATCAATTAGTGCATGATCGGGACTCTTTGCGACTAGATTCATATTCAATAGTGTTGCAGTTGTCTGACATATGACTCAGAGTTGGACATTTGCTTGCCTGAAACAGTGCAGAAAGAGATAGCAAAGCACAGCAAACGATCAGGTTTGTGTGTTTGATATTCTTAGTTTCTTGTCCACCAAAATTTCAAGGTTGGGATATGACATGACTCATCAAATGGAGTCGAAACCAATTAAGGTTGCTTGGCAAGTTGGCAAGGTTTGACCATATAATTGATGACATGAACTGTTTGACATTGGTTGTACAAGGACATTGATTAATTCATGCCCAACTCTTCGATAAAAGGAAAATAGTAGAGACCATTAGATGAGGGAGTTGCTTTGAAAAATTTAGTGAAACTCGTTAATCCAACGGTTTCTATTGATTTGGGATCCTTATCATTGCTCTAAAAATAACATGTGATGTTACGTGTTTTTGCATTTGTATACTCATATTGATAAATCGTTGATGACACGTAACATGTGATGTTACGTGTTTTTGCATTTGTATACTCATATTGATATGATTGATAAATCATTGAGAAATGATAATTGTTTACGTAAATAAGATTGATTTGATACCTATGGACAGTAATACAAGAAGGAACAAAATTAAACTTGAATGAGATATGTATAAAATATTATTATAAATTGTGTACAATAAAACACAGAACGTTCAAAAAAAAAAAAACAATTACAAAATAAGTTTGGTACAACCAACTCTAAATTATGCCAAATAACTGAAGTCTTTGTTGATTTGAGTTGAATACAAATAAATATTTCATTCCTTTCCTCCATTAGTTTTTCACATTCTATACACTTTCCATCAATTTGGATAAAGATACTGGTTGTTTCATTGTGGTACAAAACTACAAGAGGGTTACGTCTTATTTTAAAGTCGTGAAAAATGAAACGTTTCAAAATTAAACCACAAAAATAAGATAATCTAGTGTAAACGACATCAGTACAACATATGCACTTTCCTAATTGTATGAATTTAGGTATTGTCACTAAATCCCAAAAAACATAGGTATTGTCTTTGACTTAGAGCTAGTTGGTACAAAATGTGTGGAACTCGGATAAATGGCTTTTTTTGTTTAGTTTAATGATTAGGGGTGTCTGGGTCATCTTATATACACCTCAACTAATTTTCTATTCAGTTCGGTTAAAAACAAGTTATTCACATCGGAACAAGGGTATTCATGAAAGATAAATTTCTCATAGTCTGACTTCAATAAGTTGTCAAAATTCAAACTTAAAACATCTGAATTTATAACTTATCCTTATTACCAGTTACCCCTAATTCACCTTAGTTGCACGTAAGATATGTGGTGGTCCTAAACACCATCAGTACACAAAGGAATCAACTCTTGGAGTAAACTTTCAACAAAGAAGGTTGGCAGCCATTACTCATAATCATCTGTATCCTCTCTGGCCAGGACCACACACACACACACACACACACACACAAAATCGATTCATTTATTTTACGGGTTTGTCGAATTAACCCGTTAAGACTACACCAAAACTCATTAAATTCGTGTCAGTTTCACGAATCGTGTCTAGAATTGTCAGGTCTAGGTAATATAAACAAACTATAAACCTAAAAGTCCTCGATTTAAATCTTAATAATTCTTTAAAATTAGACCATAAAATATTTATCTCTTATAATAACTTAATCCGACGACATGCCGTGGACGTCATGGGTCTCAATACACAGGAGAGGTGGGTACGATTGGCCCTGGTGTGGGGGCAGCCTGTGAAGTCTGGGAATTGGGGTGGATGGAGCTTGCTGACTGGTTCTGGTTGTCGGCTCCAATGGACATGGACACCAATTAATTTCTGCCTTTGCCTGTTGTTAGTCAATAGTCATGCCACGTCCATGCACCAAATGCCATACATAATCTGCTTCTAAGGGTGATGGGTCCCTACTCAAACTCAGCATGAATGTTAATGGGACCCCCATTTGCTCTCAAGTTCAAGATTTGGGATTAGTATAAAAACT